ATTTTTTTTTTGATAATAATATAATATTATATATATACATATATTAAACATCTTTCATTTAACGATTTTATAGTGTATGAGAGAGTTTGGGACTAAATTTCAACATGGAATTGCGTAGTCCATACTTTAAATTCTACCATATCGACTGTAGTAAAATAATTAAAATTAAAATTCTAAAACAATTAAATTTCCTAATGTAAGTTTGAAAAATTAGAATGACGATTGAACGTACCACTTTTCATTTTGTTACAATGTAAAGGGGATAATTATTCCTTAATATTATATTTTAAACGAGAAGTAATGAAATAAAGAATTTATCAGTTGACTAGATTATTTATCCTTGATTTTGTTTTCAAAATAACTGTATAATTAGAAGATTACGTGTCGTGTAGCGAAGTTTTTACGGATAAAAAGTGTTCTCCAGTGTATCTCTTGACATTGTGTTAATGTCACGCTTAGGATGAACGTGCAAATATGTTGCGTGAAATTTACACATTTTCTGTATCCCGCAGAATCTGTAACCTCATGATTAAAATGACTGTGCAAGTATAAAACACTGACAGAACTCAACACTTACATATGCCCTGTGGGTATAAACGTAGTGTCTTTCATGCACTTTTTCCTCCAGCTTGTTATCTTTGAGGTGACAGCTGGTTTAGTACATACTTGCAAGCTGTTTGATTTATAATACATTCAATCCCATGCACCATTTATTAACAGGTTGTAAATTATATACCTGATAATTTCAGGAAAGTCTAAGATTTACAAAATTCATAACATATTCGAATTTACAACATCGCCGACAGTTATTATAAAATGGATAAGTAACGGTACGGTGTAGAAGTGAATTCTTCCTGACTTTTGTGTACAATCGAAGTTTTGTTTAAAAAGAACGAAAATAGATCAATCGTCGAACTAATTTACATTATTGTTGATGACCTTTTGCTATTTTTCTGACACCTTGCGAATACTATCGTGATAAAAACTCCGGCGGCTTTCTTTTTCATATAATATCAGCGATCAGAATTGGACTCTTTGTGGCTTTGAATCAATTATGTAGATTTAGTGGGAAAGAATTCATTTCTACACTTAATAGCTTTTTATGCAAGATTAGTTCACGATGAATGACGTGAAATTGAAAATATTACTGCTAAAAGCTTAAAAGTTATACCCTTATCTCTATAGATACAACAAATCGTTTCTAATTTCGAGATACGAAACACGTTACTACTCCTACACCACACGACAACATTACTTCAGGGGAAAGATCATCCACCGCCCACAACGATTTCAAATCTATCTGCATAGTACGCTATTACTTGATAACATTACAAATCACCGAATCACTTGCAATTTATGAGTAACAGCGTACAATTTAAAGTTGATGTTTTAAAACATTCTAACACGTATTTCATATTTTGCAGCAAGAAATTTAACAGATTTGTCTCCAGCTATCCTTCATCTAAAATCGAAATGATCGAATTTTAATTTGATAGCGTCAGACAGTAAATACACGTAATTAGTATTTTGCAGCAAGAAATTTAATAGATTTAGTTCCAGCTGTCCTTCATTTAAAATCGAAATGATCGAATTTTAATTCGATAGTGTCAGACAGTAAATACACGTAATTAGTATTTTGCAGCAAGAAATTTAATAGATTTGGTTCCAGCTGTCCTTCATCTAAAATCGAAATGATCGAATTTTAATTCGATAGTGTCAGACAGTAAATACACACAATTAATATTTTGCAGCAAGAAATTTAATATATTTGTCTCCAGCTATCATTCATCTAAAATGAAAATGATCAAATTTTAATTCGATAGTATTATAATTATTTGCATCTCTGTATCGAAGCCTTACACAATTCAGCCTTAATCCCTTGACTTATGATTTCATTTGTTGACTATACATCTAAGCGTCAACTATTTACTATTTCAGTACTGTATTGGGTAAGAAAAGCAAATGTATTGTAGTCCAATTACATTTAGTAATCCTCAGTCTTCTAAATTAAAACAAAAGTTAGAATTAAAATTAATTTTTGTTACTAATATAACTATTTTTGTCGCATCTTTTTCCTTTCGGGTTTGAATTTGAGATATGCACCTCCTCCCATCGTTAATCGTAACAGCCAGCACACGTTAACAGACTATCGATACTCGGACTGGGAAACGACTATGAAAGATTGTCGAATTTGTAGAAGGGCGAGGCCCTTTTGTTGGCTCCTTTCGTGGGAGCCTGTACGCCCACTTTGTGGCCGATTACTCTCCTCCCACCTATTTGCTTACCTATGTGCAGGCAATATGCGACTCGCGTATTTCGCGACGTAAGCTACAGTTAAGCCTCAATAGATATGCACACAAGACTTGTGTAACGATGTGAATTTGCGATCTCACCAAGCACAGATTGAATCGTTCATTCTGGGGACGCGAAATTGCTGGAACGCGGCAATCCCCCGTTTCAAGAACCACGTTTCAGAACAACTGATTATGAGTTATTGTCGTAGGGTATACAATACCGATTACTTTCCTTTTTTCTTTTCCTTCCATTCGAAGGGAGTCGTGCGAACGCTGAATGACGAGTCGAGCGGAAATGGACTTGGATTAAGTGCTGGCGGATTAAGTCCTGGAATGTTTCACGAACATTGCTATTCTTTGGCATACACTCCTTTGACATTTTTCAACGAAGGAGATACTGAATTGCACGAGGATAAATCAATACTTTTTCAGTCGATGTTAGTAGAGATTGAAGTAATTTTGCGATTTGTTAGAGAAATTAACCCTTAGCGTATTAAGGTCGGATGATCAACGTTCTTAACCTTAGTACGGTTAGGTTAGGTTTTCGGATCTTTTTCGACCTATCACCTTCTTATTTTTTAAATCACTTTTGCTGTTATCAAATTTGTTCCCTGATCATTATATTAAAATTTTATTGTCTAGGTTCTTTACGTGCTGGTTACAAAAATTGTCACACATAAGGTCTTTGGGTCTTCCTTGACAAAGAAGGGAATGATACAAAATAGGAATGAAGTCGTTAAAGATGTTGAATGTAACTTTCGCCAGTACCATTCTTGTCTCGCATCATAGTAACCGCAAGTTCGTTACCATTTCCTTTGTACTTCGTATGTTTGTTATTACTTTTCAACAAAGCTTCAAACCACCTATGTTTATACAACATTTTTTCCTTACTTACACCCATAGAATATACTGACAAAGTTTTATCCGAAAAAAAAAAAACTGAGACACCCTGTATGCACTCTTTACAACAAAAGGGTTAAATGAGTGTAATACCAATACATATAGTATTTGTACCTCGTACATCAATATGTTCATCAGGATAAAGTTGCGTTATTGTACCGTAATTCACTACGATCTATTCTTGCACAAAGATTCTTCCTGTTTTTCATCACACGTCACGAATTACACAGATGCAAACCTCCCTGAACACTTCCATTCACGCGGTAGATTCTAGAAGCAGCATCGTACCTGCTGTTTAAATCAATACATTAAAGCAACACGACCATTTGTATTAACAACATTATTACATGATACGTTTATCATTATCCGCATCATAACACGTACGAAAGTTATTTGTGGCGGTGTGAGACGCGATATTGACGCGGCGGTGTGCAGAGTCACTTTAAGGATCAGCGATTTAGTCTTGTTGTTCGATGTATTTCCATAAGCGCCATCGTAATCGGATACGGCGTCTTTCGCGAATCTCCATCTGACCGTAAATCAACTTCTTCTTTTCGTTTTTTTCGCGATAAATCGTTTTTACAATGGCTTGCACTTGTAATAGCCGCTTCCTGTTACCGATCAAGATTAGCTCGTGAAGTAACTTGTAGATTCATGTGGATACGCAAACAGGAAGTTAGCTGGTTTTTTGCTAAACGCACACCCATTAAGTGTGAAATTATAGAAATAAAATTGCCGTCGTTAATTCAACTGCCTGTTATGCGCGCAGGCCGACTTGCGTTATATGATGTTGCGACCATAAGTAATGCCCGTTTTCTTGCAAATATGTAAAACAGATAATCGTATTTGCAACAAAATCATTTTGCGTCCCACGGTATCCGCTTATAATTATTCGAATAATCACACGGCTCGGGGAAAGTAACGATTATGCGTTCCATATGAAATGCGCTTATTAATGTTTACCGTTTCACCTCGCAGAATTTATAGTCTGCGTATGCCTATAATAATACGCTTACCGATGGTAATTTCAGCGAATAAATAGTAAAAGAACAGAGATATTTGTCTTATCGTTCGATCGTTTCTCTTAGAAGTTCTATCGAGGTTGGTCGAAAGAGGTACGCTTCTAATTTTCCCTCACGATAACTTCTAGCGACAACGATTACATTCGATGACAATTCCATTATCGACATTTTTAAGATTCATAGGTGGTTCATTGTGTGTGATTCAAATTTTTCTCTCTTCGAGGAAAAATTTTCTTTTGTCAAGTGTGCAAAATCACGGAATTATCAGACATATTAAGATTATTATGGTACGAGTTTGAGGAAAATCTGGTTCGACGTTTCAAACAAAGTACACACGATCTTTTATTAATTCTAAGTGTCTAAAAATCTTGACACAATGGTGCGATGTGTCCAGTGACGTAAGCTTTCAACTAAAACTCTAAATATTGACTCGGGCTATTCTTCACGGATTGTAAGATGCT